AGACGCACACCAAGAATGCAAGCGGAAACCCAGGCACGCACACACACACACACGCACCCATGCAGTGTGGACCAGGGTGGCTGACACGTCCACCCTGGCTGCAGTGCATGGGGGTCTCACCTTTCCAGGCGGGATGGCGGGATGGCGTGAGGCGTGTGTGTGTGTGGGGGCTTCCAGCTGGGCCTCCGTGCCCCGCACCACCACCACCCCCGCCCCCCGCCACCCCCAACGCTGGCGGCCAGCCAGAAGGCCGCGTTCCCACGCCGGGAAGCCGGGCAGGCAGGGACCGTCATTAGGGAAAGGAGGCATTCGAGGAGGAACGAGGTGGCAGAACACAATTAGGGGCGGCCGGGCCTCTCATTAGCCTAACCACAGCCGGGAGATCACAGGGCCTGGCACACGGGGCAGGATCAGTCTACAGTGCTCCCGTCCCCGCCTGCCGGGGTCTGGGGGGATGGAGCTTCCCTGCTCTGCAGAAACAAGAGGCAAAGTATAACCCCCTCGCCCCCACCGGCACATCTGGGTCTGTGCCAAGGGGGCCTGGCCCCCCAGGAGCACGGCACAGCTGCCCACAGCGGGCACTGGCACGGGGCTGCCACTCGGGGCCGGCGGCCTCGTTCCTCTGTCCTGAGGTAGCCGGGCCACGCTGGAAGCAAGTGTCCTTGGCTGGGCGACCGCGTGGGCAGAGCGGGGCCCCTGTTTCGAGCTGAACCTCTCCGTGCCCGTGCCAGCCAGCCAGCCAGTCCGGGCCCCTCTGGCCCAGGCCAGGGCTCAGCTGCACGCTGGGCAGGGCCGCTCCGTGGCCCTCGGCCGAGAAAGGCCCGGGCTTCACCGTGGCCTCGCGTAGGGCTGCAACAAGGCCGCACGGTGGTCACCAAGGCAAGGACACGGGACCCACACACTGACCTCCTGTGCCGCCCCAGCAAGGACACGCCAGCCACACTGGCCGCACGCGTGGCTTCAGCGAGGCCACGGGGCAGCATGCCCTGGTCTCACGGGGTCCTGGCAAGGCGAAGACAGTGACTTCACACACAGTGCCACGGACGCCACGGAACCGCACACGCTCACCTAACGGGGATCCACCTAGGCCACGAGAGCAGCATGCTGACCATACATGCAGCTCTACGAAGGCCACAGGAATAGCATACACAGACCTTGCATGCAGCTACAAGAAGGCCACGGGAGTCCTACGCTGACCTTGCATGCAGCCTCCCAAGACCACAGGAGCAGCACTCACGAACATCACATGCAACTGCACGGGGAAGCTGACTCCGTCTCCTGGGTGCGAGTCCCTGGGGCCGGCAGCCACCGAGCGCCCCACGAACTCTGGTGCTGGACTCGAGGACACGGTGGGGACGCCCCAGCCCCAGCTCGCCACAGGCAGAAAGTCGGGCACTTGGGGTGAGCCACCACCCGCCCGCCTCGGGGCTGCCCTCCCGGCCCTCGCTTGGGTCCACTTGGGGGTTCTGCGATGAGCACGACCCTTTTACATCACGGTGTGGAAGCTGCAACAAGACGCCCCCGAGGGTGCAGCCACCCCCAGGCCACCAAGAGTCCCGAAGGGCAACAAAACAGGCGACTCCAACACCATCTGCAGTGACCTGAAGGCGCGCGGGCAGGCCGTGGGCATGGAGCTGTGGCTGGGTGTGGGGACCATGCGGATAGCCGTCTCCAAGAGAGAGAGAGTGAGAGTGAGAGAGACGAGGCTCACCAGGAGGAAAGGAGATTCCTTGGAGGGAGATTTGTCAAAAGAAAAAAAAAAAAAGCAGGTCTTAGGACCGCGATAGTTCAGTGGTTAGGGCATCCGCCTTGCACACGGTGTCTCCCTAGCAAACAGAGGGTCCCCCGCGCCCTGCCAGCAGCCATCACCGGGGGACATGGCCCAGAAAGGCAGCCAAGAGTGGGGGTCGAGTCTGTGGCAACCGGAGACAGCTCCCTGCCTGCCTGCCTGCCCGCCTGCCCAACTCGGAGAGACGCCGCCACCTCTGGGCCTTCCTCTTTGACCCACACCCCACCCGTCTTGCCTGTGTCTCCTGTGTCATCCGAGAAGCAAGCGGAACAGAGGCGGTAAATCACAGCTCCTTGTGACCCTGTCAACAGTAACACGATCCCTGTGTGCCTTTTCTGTGGCTAGGGGGAGCACAGCCCACGCCCAGCCACGGGCTCCGGGCGCCGCCGGGTATGTCTCAAGTGCTCAGTTTCCCTCAGACCGGCCCCGATGCCAGCGGGACTGCCTGTCTCCAAGCTGCCCAGAACCACAGACAGGGGCGTCTGCACCCAGGCAACCAACTCCCGCAGCAGCCCCGGGCTGGCCCACGAGAACCTTGCAGCAAGGGGTACGTTTCACTGGGTCACGGCTCATCAGAGCACTGTGTCCAATGGGAGTTCTGATCTGAGGGCGGCGGGACCTTCTGACCCTTAGGAATCAGGGAGAAGGGAAGAAAACTCAGGTGGGCTTGGGGGTGTTGGGAGAGCCGACCCTCCCCTGGCCGGCTGCAATGGGGCTTGGCCCTTGGACCTGCCTGGAGGATCTGGAACATTCCAGTGGCTGCCCTCTCCTGGCCCTACAGGGGAGTCCAGCTAGCTGATAATTACCGGGCCACAATCATCCCTGCAGGGGGAAGGGGATGGGCTGCCGGTGGGTCCGGAGGGCTAGAGGCCCCGGATGCGAATTATGATGCATTCGTTTTAATGAGACATCTGTCCGCATTAACACCCGCCAGGCTCCCACAACAGGTGCCTCGGGGCTTGCCGAGGAAGGGACCTCGCTGGTCAGCGGCAGGAGGGCCAGGCGGAGAAGAAACTGTGTCACTGCGGGTCTGCTCGGGGCCAGAGACAGGACGGCGGGTCAGGCGGGCGTTGGCCCTGCACAACTGGCTTGGATCTCTGGCAGTCAGGAGTGATTCCCTGAGCACTGAGCCAGGAGTGATCCCCAAGTACTGAGCCAGGAGTCAGCCCTGAGCACTGAGCCAGGAGTCAGCCCCGAGTCAGACGGGCTGCCCAGCAAACCAACTCGGGGACAGCCAAGAGTGTTCTGGGGTCGGGGTCTGCAGCATGGAGACCCACCCCTTGTGATCACTGCTAACGACCCTGGTTCTAAACTGGGCACAGCCCCTCGGGACCGTGACGACTTGATGCGTCTTTCAAACGTCTCTGGGCGCTGGCAGCAGCCCTAGGTAGAGGCTCAGCTTCCAGTGCTCGCAACAGGCCCGGTGGTAGTGTCGGGCCGGAGATGGGGAGGTTCCGAGGGGCAGGCTGGTGCCAGGGCTGAGTGATCCCCTGCAGGGCAGGGCCAAGGAGGACTGGACTCTGCCTCCTTGCAAAGCTCGGTGACCAGGCACCCGACTGGCGTGGCTTGAGTGATACCCCCAAGGGCTTCGGAGAGGGTCTGCTGTCTGCTATTCCTGTTGAGCCCTAAATGCACCGGGGTCCCCACTGAAGATGGAAAAGATGTGAGCAGGGCAGGGCAGGGCAGAGGTGAGAGATGGGGGGGGTCAGACTTGAGAACTTGAAAGAGATGGGCGCCTCACAGCCCACAGAGCCAGGCCCGGGACTCGGCAAGGTCAGCCCAAGCTCAGTGCTTAAACTTTCTTTCCTTTGGGGGCGATGACGAAGGGGGGTGGGGGGGGGCGGCGCACCCGCCCCCCAGTTCCCATGACTTAAGAGTGTTATTGTACTGTTATTTTTTTAATGCAAACACTTCCTGCTAGCTCACAACTTGGCAAGCTTAGACTCACATCAACATTTTTTTTTTCTTTTTTGGAAACGCTTCCGGGGAAGCTGCAGAAAAAGGCAGGTTCCCCACCCCACCCCCACCTGGACCACCCCCTCTGCTGCGTAAACCCTAGGTTGGCACTTTTTTAGGCAGGCAGCACCGCGGAGGAGGGGTTTCTCCTTTCCAACTAAGCTCCAATGAACGGGAAAAAAGGAAAAAGGGGGAAAAAAAGACCAGAAGTAGCTATGCTTGCTGTTCCCACGGGGACCCTGGAGTTGGCAGCTTGGCGGGATGGGGCTGGGGGAGTTGGTACTGTGGTGCATAAGCCCCCCCCCTCCCCCCAGGCCAGCACCCGGACGGTGCAAACCGTGCAGCTCCCTGGTGCAACCCTGCAGCCTCCTGGTCCAACCTTGCAGCCCCCTGGTGCACCCTTGCAGCCTCCCTGTACACCCCTGCAGCTTCTGGTGCAAGCCTGCAGCCCCCCCCCCCCGCCCGGTGCAATCTTGCAGCCTTCTGGTGCAACCTTGCAGCCTCCCTGTGCACCCCTGCAGCTTTTGGTGCAACCCTGCAGCCCCCCCCGGTGCAATCTTGCAGCCTTCTGGTGCAACCTTGCAGCCTCCTGGTGCAACCTTGCAGCCTCCTGGTGCACCCCTGCAGCCTCCCGGTGCAACCCTGCAGAGTCAGTCCCGTGCAGCGGGCGGGCCTGCCTGCAGCCGGGGAGGGCGGGCTGGGTGGGGTGGAGTCCGGCTGGCTGCGGGACTCGGCCCCCTGGGGATGCAGGCGCTCCTGCGGGTCGCCAGGGACAGCAGGGGGTGGGGTGGCCACTTGCAAGGGCCTCCACCTCCGCCCTATATAGACACACGCGCTGCGAGGCGCCGGCTGGTCAGCGTGCGGGGCCGGGGCCGCGTCCTGCCGTGCACCCGGGCCGGGAAGGGCCCCCGCCTGCGCCCCGCTGCCCCGGGACCCTCGGAGCCAGGCCAGCGCCGGGCCGCGATGACCCCCGGGAGGCCGGAGCTCTGCAAAGCGACGCGTGCACCAGGTGCGTGCACCGGGCAGCTGCCCGGGACGGCCGGGAGGGTCCGGGGGAGGCCGGGCGTGGGGAAACTGAGGCCGCGGGGCGTGCACGCGGGCTGGGGGGTGCAGCACGAGGCGCGCTGAGCTGGGGGAGGGGGTGTCCCCGGGTGCTGCGGGGCCGGGAGCTGCCGCAGCCCCGTGCACGCGCGCGCGCGCCCCGCCGCGGCGTGTCCCCGCCGCCCACCCCGTCCCCCCGCGGGCCGCTACCCACCCAGCAGGAGGCCGTCCATGTCGAACAGCAGGTGCGTGACGGACCGCGCGCCCCGCACGGGCGCCGACATCCCGGGAACGCGCTGCGGGGCCGGGGCCGGCGCGCGCCTTTGAGGCGCCCCGCGCGCGCGCGCGCGCGCGCGCGCCCCGCCTCGCGCTCTGCGCCTGCGCCGCCCGGAACCCGCGCTCTGCGCACGCGCGGCCCGCGGGCCGCCCCTCCCCCGCCCGCCTGCCCGCAGCGCCGCGCTTCCCGGCGACAGCCCCGAGGAGTCCAGGCTTGTGCGCATGCGCGCCGCCGCCTCTCCTCCGCCGTCCCCTCCCCCCCCATCACACCCGGTTCCGGAAAGCGCGCGCCCGGGACCGCAGTGCGCAGGCGCGCTCCGAGAAGCGCGCGCCCGGGTCCGCTCTGCGCAGGCGCGCCTCACTGGCGGGCCTTGCCTCGGGTCCGGAGCGCGCGCCCGGGCCCGCTCGGCGCATGCGCACTCTCCTAGGCGCCGGTTCTAGGGTGGAAGGCGCGCGCCCGGGCCCGCTCGGCGCATGCGCGTTTCCAGTTGCGCCGCGGATCGGACCTAAGGCGCGCGCCCGGCACTATTATGCGCATGCGCTCTCTTCTAAACCCCCCCCCACCCCGTGTCCTGGAATGAAAGGCGCGTGCCCGAGTCTTTTTTTGCGCATGCGCAATCCCTGCACCGCGCGCCTGGCCGGGCTCTGCGCATGCGCCCCACACGCAGCACGCCGGTTTTCCGCGGGCCTGAAGCGCGCTCACGGATCCGCTCTGCGCATGCGCGCCCCCGGGGGGTAGGCACGCGGCCGGGCCGGCCCTGCGCATGCGCAATCCTCGCCGGTGCTTGCACGCCTCTGCAGCCCTGGGGTGCGGGGCGGTTTGGTGCAGAGCTTGGAGAGCTGGGCGAGCGTGCTGCAGGGCGGAGGAACCGTGCAGGGGAGGTGCAGGGAAGGGTGCAGGGAGCAGGAGGGTGCAGTAACAGCATTGCAAGTGTCACCCCCCCAAGGGTGCTCCCAGAGCCTGGGGGGGAAAGGGTTTCCCTGCACGTTGCAAACGCTCCAGGTGCTGCCCGCGGGCTCCCGTGGGCGTTTGCATCTCGCTGGAGTGCTGCCGAGCTGGGCCTGGCGTCCAGGAGCCTCCTCCGGGCTGTAGAGGCCCCGGGGCTCTGAGATCAGATAGCAGAGGCACGAGGGAGGGGGCAAAGCCTTCCTCTGCATTCCTAAAATTCCTGCCTCACCAGTCTTTCTTGGCCTTTGGCCTAGGTCTGGGGCCCTTGCAAGCACGAAATTTTGGCTGCTGAGGCACCAGTAGGATTGGATTTGTAGGGGAAAGTTTTCCTCCCGAGTTTTCTGGGCTCCACCTCGTCTGGGATGCCTTTTATCTGTCCCCTTTTTTTGTTTTTTTCGGTTCATGATGTAAATGCAAAGAGAGGCCCTTTGGGAAAGCAGAAATGGGATTCCCCCTGCTCCCCCAGCAAAGAATAAGGGTTTGGAGGCTTGGAAAGAATAAGGTGTGTTTTGGGGTGCTGGAGAGATAGCACAGCAGGAAGAGCGCGTTTGCCTTGCACGCGGCCGACCTGGGTTCGATTCCCAGCATCCCATATGGTCCCCTGAGCACTGCCAGGAGTAACTCCTGAGTGCAGAGGCAGGAGTGAGCCCTGTGCATTGCAGGGTGTAACCCAATAAGCAAAAAAAAAAAAAAAGAGGAAGGTGTGTTTGGGGGCTGGAGAGATAGCACAGACCCGGGTTCGAGTCCCAGCATCCCATAGGGTCCCCTGAGTAACTCCTGAGTGCAGAGCCAGGAGTAAGCCCTGTGCATTGCTGGGTGTGACCCAATAAGCAAAAAAAAAAAAAAAAAGAAGAAAAAGAAGAGTCAGGTGTGTTTGGAGGCCACACCCAGTGGAGCTAAGGGTTGACTCTTGGCTGGAGATTCCTGCCTGCGGGGCCCCGGGGACCTTACCCGCGGCCTGGCATGAAATCCAGGTTGTGCTTGTGTGCAAAGGAAATTTATTCGAGGCTCAGTGCCGAGGACCCCAAGTCAGAAGAAGAGAAAGGGACTTTGAGCTTCCTTTGCTGAGAGGGTCTCTCTTATCAGTGAGACATTCTTATCACATTCTTATCACATGCACATTCTTATCAGTGATATGGAGATGATAATTAAAAGATAAACAATAATCACAGGGCTGCAGCTCTAGCAAAGGGCTCTTGCCTTGCACACGGCTGACCCGGGTTCGATTCCCAGCATCCACTAGGGTCCCCCCCCAGCACCGCCAGGAGTGATTCCTGAGTGCAGAGCCAGGAGTTATGCGTGGGCATTGGTGGGTGTGACCCCCCCAAAGCAAATAATAAATAAAATAATAAAGTAGATAATAATATAATAAATGAAAATAATAAAAAATAATAGATAAACAATTGGTGCCTCATTCCCACATGGTACGACCTTCAGATGCTGAAAGGAAGGCAGGGTCAGTATACCCTGCCCATTTTTGAGTGTGGCCTTAGGGACCATGTCCCGGGCACTCCCATGGTGGCTGGTGGGTCCTTAATGCGATGAATTGGGGTCATAAAAGGAATGATTCACTTAGAGGTCAGTTTCAGTTTCCTGGTCCCTGTTACCTCTTCTTGGTTCTCAGGAGAGTTTCAGAATTCTCCTAATATACAGCTTCTTCTTTTTTTTTTCTTTTTGGGTCACACCCAGCGATGCACAGGGGGTTCGTCCCGGCTCTGCACTCAGGAGTAACCCCTGGCGGTGCTCAGGGGACCCTAGGGGATGCTGGGAATCGAACCCGGGTCGGCCGGCCGTGTGCAAGGCCAACGCCCTCCCCACTGTGCTATTGGGCCATAGCCTGACATTCAGGTTCTCATTTGTCATTGCAGTAAGGTTCTTTTCCTTGGGTTCTGTGGGGGAGGTGGTGCCCCACCCCAGCGGTGCTCAGGAGTTCCTCCTGGCTGGGCCCCCAGGGGTCGGTCCCTCCTAACAGTGCTCTAACAGGCCAGCTGACAGAGTACTTGGGACTGACCCCAGGGTGGCCGCGAACAAAGACTCGCTGCTCTCTCTCTCTCCAGCCCTAGAAGGAGGTTGTGTTTAATGCCGGTGTCCTTGGCTCACGGTGGTCCAGGCTGGCGTTAAAACATGTGTGTGAAGAGGACGGAGTGATAGCACCGTTGCTCCCTGGCCCCCGGCCCCCTGGCCTTCCATCACGGCCCCCCTGAGCACTGCCAGGGGTTGGCCCCAAAAGAGAAATAAGTTTTGAAGGGGTCTGCTTACGTCCCCGTGGAGAGCTGTGTCCTGCCGGGTGCTGTGTCCACGGGGGGCTTGGGAGAGTCACTGCCGTGGCTCTCGGGGGCAGCCTCAGGGGTGTCCAGCCCACACCAGCCCGGTGGCCGGACACCCGCCCGCGCCTGCCGCCCGGCCGATTAGCCTGACCCACATACGCCGCCGGCTGATGTCACCCGCTGAGCTGAAGCCCCAGCAATGTGCAGCCTCACTCAGGAAGGACCCGACCCTGAGCTGTACGCCTGCCTGCGTGGGCGCCGCCTGGGGCCTGGGGCCTCCGTCCACCGTCGGCTGCCGCTGCCGGGCCCGCGCCGGGCCTGTCACGCCACGCCCCGGCCCCGTGGCCTCATTCTAACTGGGTGGCCCAGCTGCGAAGCGGGTCACGGGCTGCGGGACGGGCGCGAGCTCTCTCTCTCTCTCTCTCTCTCTCTCTCTCTCTCTCTCTCTCTCTGTCCCTCCCCTGTCTCATCCCCCTTTTCTGTCTCTGCTATCTGTCTCTGTCTGTCTGTCTGTCTGTCTGCAGGCCCTGGCAGGCCTTGGGCTCTGCCTGTAGAGTTGCCCGTGCTGGCGTGAGGCAGGCGTGAGACGGATGGGCCTCCCCTGGGTGCTTCTAGGCTGGGGGGCAAAGCAGGCACAGGGCAGGGCACCCCGACCCCCCCAGGGACAGCCGCCTCTTGGCCAGCTGCCCTGTGTCGGGGGAAGGCGGAGGGGGCTTGGCACTCTCGGACCCGGGAGAGGAGACCTGGCAAAGCCAGCCAACGGCGGGAATTCCTCAGAGCTGTCAGCGCCGCTTCTCTCTGCGCCCGGGACCTGGGCAGGAGAGCAGCCCCCCCTCCCTGCAGTGCTCGCGAGTTTTCTCTACGCCCCAGGCGGGCACCTCCTGTGCAGAGACCAGCCGGGTGCAGTAGCCAAAGGTTGGCCCTTTGCAAAGCAATTACCTGGGGGCTGGAGCGACAGCACAGCAGGGAGGGTGTTTGCCTGGCACGCGGCCGACCTGGGTTCGATTCCCAGCATCCCCTACGGTCCCCTGAGCACCGCCAGGAGTGATTCTTGAGTGCAGAGCCAGGCAGAACCCCTGAGCATCGCCGGGTGGGACCCAAAATGAAAAAAGAAAAAAAGCAATTACCGATCACAAACTAGGACTCTCTGAGTAGGACAATCAGTGAATGATTAATTGGTGAACATAGAAACCCCACAAGGGGCTGGAGCGATAGCACAGCGGGGGCCCGGGGGGGGTTTGCCTTGCACTCGGCCGACCCGGGTTCGATTCCCAGCATCCCTTATGGTCCCCCGAGCACCGCCAGGGGTGATTCCTGAGTGCAGAGCCAGGAGGAACCCCTGAGCATCGCCAGGTGGGACCCAAAAAGCAAAAAAGCATAATGACACAGTGATCAAAAGAAATTACACAGTGATAACTGCAAACGGACAGGAAGGGGAAATTTTATCACTATGCATTATTTTTAACAACTCCAGGACTGGAGTGATAGCACAGCGGGGAGGGCATTGGCCTTGCACATGGCCAACCTGGGTTCGATTCCCAGCATCCCATAGGGTCCCCCTGAGCACCGCCAGGAGTCACTCCTGAGTGCAGAGCCAGGAGGAACCCCTGAGCATCGCCGGGTGGGACCCACAAAGCGAAAGAAAAGAAAAATGAAACCCCAGGATAACAGCGCAGAGGGAAGACATTCGAACTCGGACATTCTAACTCCAACGTGTGAACTCCAGTGAAACTAACATCCACACAGAGCAGGGAGGTAGGTCATAGCTCCACAGCTGCTGGGTTGGTGCAGGGGCTCAGAAAGGAAGGCACGGCCGCCCC